ACCTGAGCCCAGCAGGTCAAGGCTGCAGTGGCCATGAGTGTGCCACTGCACTCCAGCCTGGGCGACAGGGTGAGACTCTGACTCAAAAAAAAAAAGGGAAAGGATTTCTGTTGTGTAAGATGAGCAATCCTAGAACATGTGTGCTGTGGGAATGATATAGCAGGTGATTTAATAGAGAGGGAAAGACTTGATGATGTAGAAAAGAAGAGATGCCTGAAGCGTGAAGTCCTCAAGAAACAAGATACCTGAATTCGCATTTGCCTGATAATCTCTCTCTCTCTCTCTCTCTCTCTCTCTCTCTCTCTCTCTCACACACACACACACAGAGTCAGCAGAATTCACACTGACACACATACAGACCCACTTCCAATCAATGGTCATGGTAACACATCACATAGACCTAACAGTCAAACTGACACATGCACCCATCAGCCCACCAAGTCACAATAATACACATACAGTATTTGCTTGACAAACACAAATAGCCACATTGACATCAACATCCGTACCCCCTCTCATACAGAGGGGCCCACAGTCCCCCCATAGAGTTCCCCCTTGGAAACCTCTTCCATCTAGCCCCCCCCTAATTCCCAGGTCCTGCCTCTCCCCAGTGTGATCTTGCCCTTTTTGTTTTTGAGTCAGAGTCTCATTCTGTCGCCCAGGCTGGAGTGAAGTGGCATACTCACGGCCATCGCAGCCTCAACTTGCTGGGCTCAGGCAATTCTGCCTCAACCTTTCAAATAGCTGGAACTACAGGCATGTGCCACCATGCCTGGCTTTTTGTTTTTTTTTTTGCTGTTGTTGTTTTGTTTTGTCTTTTTTATTTATTGTAGAGACGCGGTCTCGCGAAGTTACCCAGGCTGATCTTGAGACTCTGGGTTCAGGCAATCCTCTCGCCTCAGCCTCCCAAAGTATTGGTATTACAGGCTTGATCCACTGCTCCTGGCCAACCTTGCCTGCTTAGAAGGAAACATCCAGGCCTGGGCTGAAGAAGGACAGGGAGGGCTTCACATCCAATGAAAAGGTTTTATTAAAGAATGAGAGATGGGGGAGATACATCAACTGCAAGGTCAAAGAAATAACCGCAAATACAAAATTCCAGCGGCAACCCCAGGGTGCCTGGCATACCTTTCTCTCCCCCCACCCGCCCACAGCCCTTTGCAAGCAAAAAGCACTCTCCATCCTGGTTCAGCTAGACATGTCGGTGCATGGGCAGAAAACAGTGAAATGAGTCTCCAACTCACTGGGATAAATAAGTTGCACTGAACATTTTAAAACTTTCAAATTTAATTACAATATACATAAATAAATAGGACAGACAGCAACAGGACTGTGAAGTGCAGCCTGGATTCAAGTTCTACAATTTGTGCTTTGTTCCTTGAGGGCCCCTCCCGCCCTCTTCTCTTCAAAGAACCCACTGGAGCCTCCTGCCAGCTCCCCTTTTCTGGGGGGAGGGGGTTCTAGGATGAGGGGCACCAAATCCTCAGTAGCACCGCTGGTTTATTAACAATTTCCTCCTGCCACCAGTAAGGTGGGTGCCACCTAGAAGCACCCACTGCTGCCCAGACACCCTCATGGGAAGGGCTCTGCCCCATGAGCCAGACTTTCCCATGCCAATTTTCTGTCAAAGCCCTTCTCAGCAATCAAAGGTCAGAAAATTGTACACATGAGACAGACACCTGGACTCTTAACTTACCAACAAACCACCACAGGCCACTCTCCCTTACTCCAACCCAGATCCCCAACTCTGGGGTTTCCGGGTGAATGTTCTCTTTCTGGCCTGGCTCTAATTCCACCTTTCAGTCCTACTCCCAGGAGCTACGGCCTCATTTCAAGCCCTGGGAGCCCCTTAGAGATGGAGTAGGAGGCACAGTTATTTCCGATGCTTGGAATCCTTCTCCGAAGCCTTGGTTTCACCATGCCCGGTGCCTGCACTGCTTAGAAACATCTTGTCCAGCCCTTTGAGTGACTCCAGCAAGTAGTTCTGGAAGGCAGTGAGGGCAGCACAGATGGCAGGCCCGCCAAAGCCATGGGTGATGAGGCTAAAGTGTGTCAGGCAACTCTGCACTCCGGGCTCCAGGATGAGTGCTGGCCGGCTGTTGCCCAGAGGTGAGCGGTCCTGAGCCATCAAGTCTGCAAACTCCTTGCAGATCTGCCTGGTAGGGGAAGGAGGTCAGAGGTTAGAGACAGAGCCGAGCCCAGAGAAGGATTACTACATGCTAGGCACTTGATGTGCATTATCTGTACAATTGTTGACCCTCCCAACAGTCTGCAATTGATGGTCATACCCATTTTATAGGAAAAGAAACAAGGGTTCAGAAAAGCAGCAATAGCGTGTGCCAATTACCCTACAATTTCTCTCCTTTGAATGTCCTTCCCACACTCAAAGTACAGCTCAACCACTTACTACCTCAACCAGGAAACATTCTTTGATCCCTCCTCCCACCCTAAACACCCAATGCGTCACAGAACTGTGTCTTCAAGATTATTAGCAACAACCCAGAATCTGCCTTGCATAACTGAAATAATAACTAGCAATGAATACTGAGAGCTGGATGCTGTGCCAGCCACACGGTATGCATCATCTTACTTAATCTTCAAAACAAATCTATACTATTATTATCTCATTGTATGGATGAAGAAACTGGTTTCAGACAGGTTGGATGGCCTGCCAGAGTGTGAGCTGGGATTTGAATCCAGCTCTAGTCTGCAGCCATTCTTCATTTATTTGTGCATCCTGTGTGTGGTTCAGGCAAGAGAATCACTCATCACTCTTTGTCACCATGGAACCCAGCCAGCATCTTAGACATGCCTGGGACCCTGGAGTGCTTGATGAGTGAGCTGATTGGTGAATGAGGTGAGCCCCACCCTAGATATGTTTCTCCAGCTACAGTATGAACAGCCTCAGAGGTCTCTCCATTCAGCAGGCCCATGAGTCTGTGCTTCCTTTTCTTCCTTGGGGACTTGAGGAAAGCCTCAAAGGAGGGAGGGTGGAGCTGTTATTTGATGGACTGTATTTGGTGGGAGCACTGGATGCTGTTCTAAGCAGGAGACAGGCAAGCCCAAGGATGTGAGCATAGGACTTAGCCTACAGATTGGTAGTTCTCAGATTCCTCTCTCTCTCTCTGTCTCTCTCTCTCTCAGTCTTTCTCTGTCTCTCTCTCCTCCCCCATCTGTACCCTTCCCTCTCCTCTTTCTATTCCTGCAATGAAACTGCTAGGTCTGAATATATCCTCCCAAAACTTACCTGTTGAAATCCTACCTCCCACCCAGGTGATATTAGGAGATGCAGCCTTTGGGAGGTGATTAGGTCACAGGGGTGGAGCCATCATGAATGGGATGAATGCCCATATTATAAAAGAGGCCAGAGCTGGGCTCGGTGGCTCAGCCTGTGATCCCGTGCTTTGGGAGGCTGAGGTGAGTGGCCCACCTCAGGCAACTTGGCGAGACCTCATCTCTACAATAAATCAAAAATTAGCCGGGCGTGGTAGCACGCACCTGTAGTTCCAGCTACTTGGAAGGCTGAGGCGGAAGGATCGCCAGAGCCCAGCAGGTCAAGGCTATAGTGGCTGGGAGCAGCCACTACACTCCAGTCTGGGCGACAGAATGAGACTCCAACTCAAAAAAAAAAAAAAGAGGCCAGAGAGAAACCTCTTGTCTCTTCTACACTGTGAGGACACATAGGTGCTGTCTGTGACCCAGAAAGCAGGCCTTCACCAGATACTGAATTTCCCTTGACCTTGAACCTTCCAGACTCCAGAACTATGAGAAATAAATTTCTGTTGTTGATAAACTACCCAATTTATGGATTTTGTTATAGCAGCCTAAATGGACTAAGACCAGGACCCTTTCTGAAGTACTAAATCTTTGTTATTATTACTTTTGAGTCAGGGTTGCATTCTGTCACCCAGATGAGTGTGTAGTGATACAGTCATGGCTCACCACAGCCTCCAACGCTTGGGCTCAAGCAATCTTCCCTCCTCAGCCTCTGAGTAGCTGGGACTACAGGTGCATGCCACCATGCTTGGCTATTTTTTTTTTTATTTTTTGTAGAGATGAGGTCTCGCTATGTTGCCTAGGCTGGTCTTGAACTCCTAAGCTCAAGCAATTCTCCCACTTTGGCCTTCCAAAGTGCTGGGATTATAGACATGAGCCACCGTGCCTGGTCTAAAAACTAAATTTTAATGGAATACTCGTCTGTTAAACCAGCCCTGAGGTGTCCCCAAACCCACTTTGAAAATCAATGCAATAGCTGTGGGAACCACTGAAGATTCTTGGGCAGAGGAGCAGTGCATGTGCAGAGAGGTTGAGGGAACAAAGGGACTCTGGGGTGGTGAAGGTCCAGGAGTGAGATGAGACCTGAGCTGAGATGGCAACATGTGAATGGTGGTGAGGGAGGCACCAACAGGACTTGCAGAAGGGTCAGGCATGACCTGGTGGCTTGACGAAGGTTACTGGGGCAGAGGGGCTGATGGGCAAGGCTCGGAGTGGGAGGCTCAGACCCGCGGTGGGGTCTGGGGCTGGTGGTGCTGTGGAAGGGTATGTGGGTGTACAGAAGCTTGTATGTGACACCATTTTACTGAAGCATAGAGCCCAGATATGTTCACATGCAGTGTTTGTGTGTGCCCCGGGTACTTTATGGGGAGTTTTCATGTATATATGAGTGTGGTAAACACAATGCCCAAATATGCCCAAGTGTGCCTGTTTGGCAGGTACATGTGTGCCCATGTTGACCTAAGCAGAGAGCCTAGATGTGCCCGTGTGGTGCCATGTAGGCCACATGAACAGGAACGTGTGTGCTCACGAGTGGTGTCCATTATGCCCATGCATGGTGGCTTCTTCTGTGCCTTACTCTGACATGTGTCTGTGTGTGGCACCCACGACTGCCTGTGCACGGTGCCCTCACTCACTTGGCAGCCAGCAGCATGCTCTTGCGGCTGTGCAGTTCCCCAGGGTCAGCGTGTTGTCGACACAGGTACTCTGCGGCTGCCTTGGCTGGGAACTCAGTCTCACAGACGTAACCGAAGTCTCGGGCCAGGTGCACAGCCTCTCCTGGGGGAAGGTAGCCATCACTACTGCCAGGTGTACCTCTGAACCTAGAGCACAGTCTTGACCTTCCCACCCCCTGGCCACGGTGATCCTGCCCATCCTGCTTCTGTAGGCGCCACCTCTGTCTTCCCTCCCTAGCCCAGCTCCAGCCTCCATTCCACTTCAGCCATCAGGCATGGGCTCTGAACTTGGAATTAGGAGCCGGGTTTGCCATGTATCCCAGAGGCAGAGTTCAGAGTCAGAGAGAAGGGAGCTCTCATCTTCTTCATCTCTTTACCACATGCAACTACTGGCTATTCCTCCCCCTATGAGTGTGTGCACACGCATGCGCATGCTGCAAGGAGCTCTCCGCTGTACATGCATGCACATACACATGCACAGACCATACACGGATACCAGATACACACTTTACACATGACACAGAGAGAACACACGCGGTTACTGTGACACATGTATGAATACGCCTGCACACAACTACACACGCCCTCCTGCATTAGAGACAGTCACACTAGATGACCCACATTCACTCTCACGGCCACCTTCAGGCCTCACTCACCCTCCACCAGTGAAGTCAGCAGCGTCACATTGGCAGCCTTGCGACGGCCAGCTGGCAGGTTGAGTCCAATCTTCTCTAGCCGTTCCCGCAGGCATCGGCCTCCATTTTTGGACTTGGCCCTTGACACGCACAGAGAAAGACAGACACACAACTATGAAGACAGGAGAGAAGCATATAGGCTAAGTGACCCCAAAGGGGCCGTGTTGCTCCCTCCAATCCCTGCTGAGCCCTGAGTCTGGCCCTGGGGATGCTATGGGACCTCATTCAGCAAGGTTCTGACCAAAACCTCAATGGTTTTGCAGCCAAGACAGGTGGGGGGCCCAGCACCAGCTCCAGGAGCCCTTCATTTCTTCCCAGTTCTCTCAACAGCGGGGGCACTGCAACGTGGGCAGGATAGGCCAGCATCCTGGGGTACTTAGCACACCAGCTGGACCATACACGGCCACCAAGGAATGCACGGACCTATATGCAGAGACATACAGGGACACACGGGAGACACAGGGACACACATACACACAGAGATGGATACACACTGAGGGCCAAGAATACAGAGACACACAGACACCAATAGAGGCAGAGATACACAGACTCAAACACTCAGACACAGAGATGCAGGATCACACCAAGTCAGGGTTCTAGGAACATGTACACTCAGGGACTCACAGGGACCCTCAAAGAGATGCTCCAAGATACCAAGATTAAGGTGATGCCCCCTACAACTACCCTCTGTGCAGCCCCCACAGAGGTACAAACACGCAAACAGACATATGACTATCTCCAGACGCAGCGTGCAATTGCACACACACCCAGAGCAAGACACATTCTGCCAGACGTATACCACTAGAAGTAACATAGGAGACTCACACTCATGTAAACATACTCCTGACCATCCTTACTACACACACATGCACACATACATGTACACACCATCCTCAGACTCATCAAAACTCATAGCGCTGAAGCAGAAATACCCTTCCCAGGCACAAGGACATGCACAGAGAGAGTCAGACACATGACTATGAAGACAAACCATGGGCTACTATGCTCCCCATCCCAAAACACACATGAGTGAGGCCTGTGCAGCCTCGGGTGATGGCCTGTGGGTCCGGGCCCTGGGAGTCCTTTCCTGGGGGAAAGGGTGGCACTCTTTCTTCCCTAGACCCAGCCTTATCCATCCTGCCCATTGTGGGTGAGTCCTCCAACTCTTCTCTGCACCCAGGTGTGTTTCTCTGCCCTCTTCCCACCCCCACCCCCAAGCCCACAGACCTGTGGGAGCCGTTGGAGACTTGGGCCTGGCCCCAGAGCATGCACAATCTAGAGTCCCTGGGTCCTCCTCTCCCAGGGAGACTGAGGCAGAGTGACGCTGTGGCCTGGGTGAGGCTGGCCTCCTCCCTGATGCTCTCAGAGGGCTCAAGGGGACCAGAAGTTTAACCAGGGCACTATGCTGAGGTCATGGGTGGACTTCCTACCTGCGGAGGACGCCTCCCAGGAGGGAGGCATTGAGGCACTCGGGAGGTGAGAGTCGCCGCTGCACCTCCCCCACCGTCACCTTGTACTTGGACGTCGAGCTGAGCAGCGAGAGCCGGCCGGGCACAGAGCAGAAGACCTCACCAGGGTTTGTGATGCCGCCGACCAGGCTGTCTTTGGCCAAGGAGAGGGCCGAGAGGCTGCTGGCTTTGGAAGGGATGGGCACTGTGGGACAGAGGCAAGAGCCAGGAGAGGTAGACACTGAGCCAGGGTCCACAGCACAGGTCCCAGCTGCCAAGCAAGGTAGGATCTATGATCCCTGCTTTACAAAGGGGAAAACTGAGGCATAGTTCGTTAAAGTGACTTGCCCAAGTTCACTCAGCTAGTGAGTGTGCAAACTGAACCCAGAGCTGTCTGGCTCTTGAACCTGTGTCCCCCTCACTGAGCCAGGCTAGTCCTCTCTTAAAACTCAAACCGCTTCATTAGAGTCTTGGAGTTCTGGCAAGTGCCATTAGAGAGGGGATTGGCATCTGAGCTGGAGGCAGGAGGGTCCTGGGTCACTGCTGCAGAGCCTGGCCAGGTCTAGGCAATCACAGGGAGTCCCCGCTCCCCTTTTCCCCCTCATGATTCCCACATCTTTCCACCCTTCCCTCTCACCCTTGTTTCCCCACGCCTAGATCAGTGAGGGACCTGGAGGCTTCGGATTCTACAACCTGGTTCCTTTCCTGCCAAGCCACTCTGGGATGCTCAAGGTGAATAAGACTACAGGGATACACCCTGTAGTCCTTCCCCTAGATCCTCCCTAATTATCTATTTTCTTTGAAGAGCATAGAAAGGAATCTGAGAAGTTAATTTTCTAAAACTCACTTGGACACTTGGCTCTAAAAAAAAGTTCTTCCTGCAATCTAACTTCCATCCTCCTGCTTAGCCTCAAGAAGAAGGGTGAATATTGAGGCACTTGCATCTTCAGAGGAACCCCCTGGCCTACTCTTCTTTCAAGGAAGTGACAGCCTTGGCAGACAGGCCTTGTGGGGGGGGAAGGTATGTGTGGGGTGAGGATCAGGTGGGGAGTCTGGGGCTAACAAGTACTAAGCACTCACTGTGCTATGTGCTCTCAAGGATGTATTCTCACTGAATCCTCAGAGCAACCCATGAGGGGGCTACATTTCTTACTATTCCCATTTTACAGATGAGGAGACTGAAGCCCAGGGAGGTGAAGAAGTACACCTGAGATCACACAACTGGTAGACCGAGAATCAGTAGCAGTTTCAGAACTGTGGTCTCTGAAGCAGAGCTCTTGGCCTTCTAGTCACTCAGCAAATGTTTGCTGAGTATCTGTGTGCCAAGAATGGCATTACCCCTAGGGAATACAGAAGTAAGCAAGGTTAGCTGGGTCCCTAACCTGAAAGGACCCCCAGCTCTCCCCTCACTGCTGAACATCCCCATCTCCACCTGCCCACCCAACCAGAAAACACCGTGGTACCCTCTGCTCCCCTCTCCTCTACCACACCCCACCCGTCACCGCATCCTATGACTTTCACTTCTTTATATGCCTCAGATGTGGCCACTTTCCTGCATGCACACAGACACTGGCTCATTCCCGTCTGAATTTCCACACAGCCCCTGCTCTAGCCTCCCTGCCATGCTCAGAGGGATCTTTCCCTGTGGATGTATTACTTTATAGCCTAAAACTCATCAACCCTGGTCAGTTCCCTGAAAATCGAATCCCAGCTGCATAGCTGGGCAGAATGATGCTGCCTATCCATCAGTGAGTGCCAACGATATCCCAAGCACTTTATGTGAACAGTTCTGTGAAGTAGATGCTGTTATTCGTATCTCCATTTCAAAATGGAAGAAAATGAGCATTCAAAGAAGTTAAAATGGCACAGTAAGAAAGGAGCAGAAACGGTCCTTAAGCTCTGACCACTGACTCCAAACACCACAGTATAAGGCCTCCTTCACCTGCCTTTGTGATCTGGCTCCTGCCTGTCCCCTTGCTAGCTCCTCATTTGTCCTTTAGGCTCTAGACCCATGCTGACCAATAGAAATATAATGTGAACCACATATATAAATGTACATTTCCTAGTATCCACATTTTAAAAAAGTAAAAAGAAACCTGTGAGATTAATTTTAATGTAAAATTAAATAATATATCACATATTTTAATGTTTTATTTCTGAATATCAGAAATATCATTTCAATGTATAATCAACATTTTAAAAGTTACTAATGAGATAGTTTACATTTTTTTTTTCTACTTAGTCTTCAAAATCCAATGTGCATTTTACACTCATGTTCATCTCAATTCAGACTAGTCATATTTCAGGAGCTAATGGCCGCCTTGGCTAGCTGGCACAGCTCTGGACTTCAAGGAGAGCATGGCAGGTAGGGAAGTAAGTGAGATGTCAAACAGGGGAGGCTTGCAGGCTGGAGCGGGCACACTGTGCAAAGGCCTGCCATACAGAACATAGTCCCAGCACTGCCAGAGCTCCTGGTTTTGTTTTGTTTTTGCAGGCTTTTGAAACCAGAAGTCTGAATTATTATTATTATTATTATCATCTTAGTCAGAGCCTCACTCTGTCACCTAAGCTGGAGTACAGTGGCATGCTCACGGCCATGGTCACCGCAGCCTTGAGCTGCTGGGCTCAGGCGATCCTTCAGCCTTAGCCTTCCAAGTAGCTGGAACTATAGGTATGCACCACCAAATCCAGTTAAATTTTTTTGACTTATTGTGGAGACGAGGTCTCACCAAGTTGCCCAGGCTGGTCTCAAACACCCAGACTCAGGCAATCCTTTCATCTCAGCCTCCCAAAGTGCTGAGATTACAGGCTTGAGTCACCGCGCCCAGCTGAGTTGAATTTTTTATGTGAAATACCTGGATTTTTAAGCACTGGCAACTGATTCAAAGATTTTAAAACCCAACACAAGATAACCAAACACCGCATGTTCTCACTCATATGTGGGAACTAAATGGCCACAAAGATGGAAATAATAGACACTGGGGACACCAATAAGTGGGGAGGTGAGAAGAGGGCTTAGGGTTCAGAAATTACCTATTGGGTACAATGTTCATTATCTGGGGAATAGGCCACCTGAGACCCAATCCCCACCACTACATAATGTGTCCGTGTAACAAACATGCACATGTACTCCCTGAATCTAAAATAAAAATGGGAAAAAAAACCCCAGCAGAGGCAAAATGGAACATGTGTGAGGTGCCCCTTGGGATGTGGCACCCCCAGGATGTGAGCTCTTCGAGCCCCATAGAGCTGCTCTGCTCCTGTCTGTTTCCCAGGACCCTCTCCATTCTACTGAGCAGGAGCCCTCCTTCCCAAGCCTCAGTTAAGGTCCCAGCCCCTGTGCAGTGCTTCCAGTTGTTTTAGTGGTTACATGATGATATGTATGCATTTGTCAAAATGTATAGAAATGTATATCTAAAAACAATGAACTATACTGTATGTAAATTATACCTTGAGTTTGACCTTAAAAGATAAAACTACAAACTGAAAAATTAAAAATAAAGGAAGGGCAAGGTGACTATCTTCTCTCCCATCACCCCTTACCAGAAGGAGGGGGTCAAAGGAACAGAAAATTCTTTTTTCTAGCAGCCTCCTCCATCCAACTGCTTTTAAAACCTGGGATCTGGACTGGTTGCAGTGGCTCACTTCTATAATCCCAGCACCTTGGGAGATTGAGGCAGGAGGATCACTTGAGACCAGAAGCTTGAAACAAGCTTGAAACAAGCCCGGGCAACATAGTGATACCCTGTCTCTACAAAAAAATTAGCCAGGCATGGTGGCACATACCTGTAGTCCCAGCTACTCAGGAAGCTGAGGCAGGAGGATCCCTCGAGCCCAGGAGTTTGAGGTTGCAGTGAGCTATGATCATACCACTGCACTCCAGCCTGGGTGACAGAGCGACCTTGTCTCTTAAAACAATCAAGCCGAGGTGAGAGGATTTCCTGATCGCACAGGTTCGAGACCAGCCTGGGCAACTTGACGAGACCTCATCTCTACAATAAATAAAAAAATTAGACGGGCATGGTTAGCGTGTGCCTGTAGTTCCAGCTACTTGGAAAGCTGAGGTAGAAAGATCGCTGGAGCCCGGCAGGTCGAGGCTGCGGTGGTCGTGAGTGTGCCACTTCACTGGGAGATCTTCTGTCTGCAGGAGTGTGTGTGTGGCTTCTGCAGAGTGAATGTCAGAGTGAGACTCCAACTCAGAAAACAAACAAACCAACCAACCTGGGGCCTCTTGAGGCCCGGCCTTGAGAAAGGGGAGAGAGACTAAGGCTACGTGGAGCTGTTTATATGGATATGCAAACATGAATGTGTGCCGCAAAAGTGAATGCACACAAAAACTGCATTCCCTTGCTATAGATACAGCAGTGAGACTGAGGCTGTACATGATGTGTACACAGATTCAACAAATACTGAACCACAGCTATGCCCCCCTCCAGTGTGTAGGAATGTGGCAGCCTCCATATGGATATCTGCAAGTGCTTTCTCTTGTTGATGCCAGATGTACACAAACAAATGTGCAGCTAAGTGTACATGCATGACTTGACATGTGCACGTGTGTTTGTGTTTATGAGTGCTAGACCTTGCAGCTTCCTCCACCTGTCCCCTTTTCCTTAGAGCATCTTCCCTCAAAAACTGGCAGAGGGAAAGGTTAAGAAAGCAGGTGGATTGAGAAAGGAGCAGTGATGGAGGTGGGAGTTAAACTAGCACAAAATGCAAGGAAGACACGCTGGAGTTTGTCTCTCACACCCACAGGACAGGCCCCCACTCCGCCATGGTGACTCATGAAGCTGAAGTGATCTACTCATGGTGTCCCTCTGGTCATACATGCAGAAGCCACACACACACTCCTGCAGACAGAAGATCTCCCAGTTATTCAACCTGACAGGCAAGACACACACACACACACAAATCTACACACTATCCACAGGTGATAGATGTGGTCTGAGTACTGAATCTCGGAGTGTGCAACAGACTTTCCCAGAAAGCTTGTTAAAATTACAGATTCCTTCTAGAAGAAAACATAGGAGGGCTGGGTCTGGTGGCTCATGCCAGTAATCCTGGTGCTTTGGGAAGCTGAAGTGGAAGGATTGCTTGAGGCCACAAGTTTGAGACTAGTCTGGGCAACATAGCAAGACTCCGTTTCTACAAAAAAAAAAATTTTAATAGCTGGATGTGATGGTGCACACCTGTAGTGCTAGCTACTTG